TGTGTGATTTTCTCCATGTACTCTGACTTCCTCCCACAGTCCAGACCATGATTGTTTGGTAATTGGTGTCTCCAAACTGTCCTAGATGACAGATAGATTACTTAAATCCAGATAAAACATACCTATGTCATTTTGTTGTTGATAATTATTAAATTAATAAGAAAAAAGACTTTTCAAATGCATTAGCTCTTTGGAGAGGGCTTTGCTGGTTGGCTGCTGTTGTCTTGATAATCGATTTACCTTGCACGTCTGACAGTTTCAGTGTTAATAAATAAATAAATGATTATGATTTTATTGACGCTGTACAGTCTGTGAACATGTGCCTTCCTGTAGCTGCGTTTGCATGCATGAGGTGCTGAGAAACGCCTCAGTGTTGGCCGTAGCGAAAAACAGAAACATGTTTTTGTCAACCAGCAGATCACTCAGGAAGAACCGGTAAAGTGACGGCGGCGTGGGAGGGGCTTTCCTCTGCAGCGAAATGCAAAGTGGTCACCAGCAATACAAATCCTGAGGTAACACATGAGAGTGGTTTAAACTTAACGTTGTTATCTGCTGCCCAGGCAAACGTGCACAAGCATCAAACTCACCAGGGATTGCACAAAGCTCGCATCTATTACTTTCTGTTGATTTGTTACTTTATGCAGCATTTTAGATGTTTTAGTCTCTGCACTGAAATAACTGCATGTTTCTTTTAGTTTTGTAGTAAAAGTGGCCCTCCTTTCACCAGTTGGTCTGAACGTGTATTTGGGGAACGCTGCGCGAACCGTGACGACTGACTGGGTGACAAACGCTGCTCATCCAGGGATTCACTCCCTGGACATTTTTTACATTTTTATCAAAATCTTAAGCAAAATCATTTACTTTGAGCTTTTTAGGTCAAACATTTCTCTCTTTTTGTTTGTCCTCTCATTTCTATGAGTTTTGTTGATTTCTTTTTTGCTCAGCAATCACTGTGGCAAACTGGTCACCTCCCATTTCTGTCCATCACCGTTTAGCTTGTAATGTGGCTTTACATCCGCGGCTCCAAACACAGCACAATCAAACAAACCCACAATGGCCACAATGAAAATAATCCATTTTTTTCCCTTTTTCTTGCTTCCTCTCTTTTTCCCCCACTATCTCAGTGCTTTCTACAAAGCCAAATTAAAATAAATTCTTCTGCCTTTTATTTATTTTTAGGAAGACCAGACCACCTCTGCGTGTACTCTGCAGGTCACGTTATACTTGTTAAATTATAATAACCTAAACGTCTCCTAAACACACATCTAATTTTATTCAAAAATATTAAACGTGTCTCTCTAGACAACAAGACCATCTCAGCTTACACAAATCTTGACTTTAGCCCACAGCGTTATCCCAGGAAGGGGAGGATGGAGTTTTTTCCCCCCCTTGATTTCTGAGAAGGTGACTGATTGTAGATGCCTGGAGGTGTGCTGAGTGTGTTGGCACACATGCACTTTATTGCATTGGTTTATTGCATTGGAGAGGAAAGTAGAACAATGGTGCATTTGCACATGGGTGTGCTAAAGCCAAACATGTGAAGAAGGTTTCAACGCGCGTTAATGATCCAGGAGTCCCCGGATACTGTTAACTTAACTCATTCTGGCTTTCGGAGGGTGAAACGACTGAGCGGTTGCCGTGGTTACGCAAATGTTTCCTTTTCACACATAACTGATGACCACTAAAGTATTAAGTAGTGAATAAAAAGTTGGGACACGATGTCCCTGTTTTCATTTGATATGCTGAATCAAGCGTTAGAAGAAAAGTGTAAAATAATAGTTATGTCCATATTGATATATGCAGAAACATATGCGCGTAGTTTATAGATGCAAGCTTACAGCAAGGATCTGTCCAATAGAAAAATAAAACATCGCAAACCTTATGGTATTTACTGTATATGATGAGCATCTTATGTTTTCTTTTGCTAAAGCCTCATGGAGGGAACAGTTCCTCAATGATTGGAAAAAAGTTTGAGGCATGTACATTTTTATGCCATCTTGGATACGTACAATGTAATTCTAACAACAAGCTGGCATATAAATATCAAGAACTCGCTTCTATTAAGCTAAATATTTGTTTGTTCTTTTGGTTATTAGTCAAGTCAAAGTTTTTCCCTCTGGACAAAGTAGTGCCCTTGTGAAATCGGCAGAGAGCGAATTAAATATACCTGTGTACCGTACTTAAGTACGGTTTCAATCATTTGGACTTGACCTGAGTAGAATATATTTTTATAAAACTTATCTCACTCACTCCACATTATCAGGATAAAAATGACACTTTTTGCTCATTTCGTTAAAGGTTTCCGTTGCTTCTGCACAATCCTTACAGTGGAACTTGATGTAATGTTGTTTAACAAAGTAAATAACGTGTTCATGCTTCAAAATATCAAACACTACTTATGGTAGTGACAGAGGTTCTACAACAAAAACAATACTTGTCCTTAACACTAAATGTAGCAGGTGTCGTCAGTTTTACATCTCAATATGATCTGTTGATCTGTTGATCCTGATGCCAGTTTGTCTGGAGTAATACTGGAAAACCGTGACAGTGAATTAAAACAATACTCTCTTCCTGGTCTAAAGTTGTTTTATTGTGCTAATTTTCATAAGCATGTTGTTTGTAAACTTTTAATATATTGATAATTTGTGCAATTCTGTGATAGTATATTTGCAAATGTACTCTTGAAAAATGTGAATATATTGAATGCACAATGTAATTAGTTTCACCTGTAAAGTGTGTTGTAATGGATCCTTCTGTGTCCTGGTAGCCTGGTGTGTTTGTGTGTGTGAAGCATGTAATGTACAAAGTGGCAAAGCAGAATAATAAAAGACATTAAGTAACTAAAAAGTTACTTCATTAGCAATTATAATAAACCAAAAGTGTAATTGTAGCGTACTGTGATCACACAAATGTCAATATATTTAAAATGCATTCTTTAAATGTAATTCAACCCAAAAATAGTGCACTCAAAATATACTAAGGCAAGTTTATATTACATAAAAAGCAATATGCTTAAAGTACACTAAGTGTAACTTAACTGTTCTAAAAAAATTACGTGAAAGTACACTTAGTACACTTTAAATTGTTCTTTAATACAATTTAATTACTATTAAAATACACTAAGCACAAAATTAGCTGTTCCAAAATGTCACCCTTTAAGTTAACTACCGTATTTCCTGGACTATAGACTATAAAACTATCGACCTCACTATAAGTCGCACCCACAAAGTTTTTTTTTTTGTTTTAAAAACCGGAAGCGTACATATATAAGCCGCTGATATCTCTGCTGCTCTCGGTTTTCCTTAGTAAACCTGCTATTAAGGACGCAGCCCTGCATCTTCAAAGCCGAACCATGGATTTGTTCACGCAGAGTTTACGTACAGCGGCTCTATGTCCCTCCTGTACTGTCAGATCGATAGCCTTCAGATTAAAAGAGGCATCTTTTCCTTCGTGTGGTTTCCATGATGAGGGGGTGTGAGTTTGAAAACATTTCTCCGACGTGCCTGCTGCTAGCATCTGCTTGTCCTAAATGAAAATTAGCGCTTTCTTCTTTGATTTCAAATTCTGACTTCCAATGATTGACTTATTGCTAAAGAGCCCCCTGGTGGTTGAAGAAAAATCCACAGAAAATCTGCACTGGACTATAAGCCGCTTGATTCAAAGGGTAGGGAAAAAGTAGCGGCTTGTAGTCCGAAAATACGGTAATCGTAAGTGAACTTGAAGTATACGCATGACTAGTCTGACTTAAAGTATGCTTTTACTAAAATTTAACATACTTAGTATATTTATTTTTCACCAGGGTCTGTGGAGTCTGTTGTTGATTTTGACACACTGATGGTACAAATCAGTATTTCAAAAAATGTAAAATGAACACCACAGTTTCAATAAAAGATAAAGTATCTCTAACCTTCATTCTTTGATAGAGCTTCTCCAACCTCTGTTCACAACAGAGGTTTGCACTAGACTTTTACCTTTGTCTGATATTTTTACTGACGAGGTCAAACAATTCAATAATATTTTAATTTAACCCGTTAGTTTTTAAAATAATAACAGTGAAATAGTGACTACCGAAAAACCAGGATTGCATCAAAACTGGCAGAGCAGGGAGCAGATGGTGTTTGGGTTGTGACTAAGTTTTTTCAGGGACCTACAATTATATTTACATTTATACATTTTTTTGATGAATTAATATTTAATGTAAAGGCTAAAAGAAGCTTCTGGATGAACAAGTGATTAGTTTGTATGATCAAAAGGACAAAATTACATTTTAGAGATGGCATCATCATGTTTCATATTTTACAACACAATTACACCAGAGTTATGTGAGATCTACTACCACAGCAATGCAAATAATAAATAAAGAAAAACAGATGTAATTTTGAACCAGAAGTGTAAAATAACAGTGTATTTTCAAAACCTCCATTGTGAAGGAAGAGAAATATATTCAAATTCAGGTGGAAACATGAAACTGGATCTTATCTACATGAGCTTAGAGAGACAAACCCCCTAATAGAGGAGAGAAGCTACATCAACCCAAACTGACTCTTATTTAGCTTATTAGTAGAGGAGGAGGCATCAGGGAACATCCTGTGGTCTGAACACAGTTGAGTGAAGAAAAACTAATTTTAGTGTGTTTGTTCTCAAAGATGCTGTGGATTCTGTTCTTCGTCTGTCTGAGTGGTAAGCTGCTCATTTACTTTATAGTTTTGATGTTACAAATATTAAAATGGCTCTAAGAGTTCAGTGTTAATAACTTCCTACTTTAGTACACAGCAAAATTAAATCATACTTCATAAAATGGGTTCAATTTTAGGGCTGGAAGCTGAAGTTTATGCATATTAATGATTGTATTAAAGATGAAAGTGGCTCTGACTACCAACAAAGTGAACTACAAAAAACTGGATGTTTCCCATTTTTCTTTGCTATGATCCATTTAATGTTTATTTGTTAAATGAATGTATTGTGGATATGTTAGAAGACAAATAATTCAAAATCATGTGAAGATCAACACTTTGAAGTTAAATTCTCTGTAATTTGAAAGCTTCACCCACAGAAAACTGCAACACACCAAACATACAGCTGACGGACAAGAGAGCATATCAGTCTACAACCTATGATGAAGGAACACCATACACTGCTGACAGAGCTTTTTATTAATCAACTTGTTCTCACACCAACCAGCAGACTAACCCCTGGTGGTCTGTAGACCTGCATGGTGTTTACAACATTACCTGTATCTGTCAGTAATTTGGACTATGGAACTAAATCTACAAACATTTCAGGTGCCAAGATCTACATCGAGAACTCTCGTCACGTCTTTATCTTCTTGGCAACCTGCACATGGAGATTAATGTGAAGTTACATTTTGTTTTCAGTTTTTATCTCATTGCTGTTGAAGATTTGTCTTTGCTATGTCAGTGGTATGTTTAATTTTCTCTCTCTTATCCAGGGTCCAAAACATCACAGCTTTCCTATCAAACCAGATCAATGTCTATGAGTTTCCTTCATCAATGTCGAGGCGATACGTCACTGAGATCAGACCAGAAAATACATTTATGGTTCTCTGTGACGTGAAAATCACTGGAACAAAAATGGGTATGTGATCCATGTTCATCAACTCTCACCATGAAAAGATACATAACTAAATTTATCATCATTTCAGTTTCCAGGGAAACTGACTAGCCTTTAATGCAAATATACTGCACTACCATGAGATTTGAATATCTTGCTGCAACACAGCAGCTTATTGTTTTCTCAGATATTCACATTGTGGGCTGCATGTCTGTCATATTCAGAAATGTAGCAGATGCGTTTTAGAGAAAGTTTTATTTGCACAACTGGGGGACAACACTTTCCTCTAACCAGGCCAATTGAAGGCAGAACAGTGAGTTGTCATCACAAAACCAAATGGATTAGTGTACATAAGTCCATCAAATGAACTACAGCCAAAAACATTTTAGAGTGTATGTGAGATCTGTTCTCACACCAATGCAAATAATATACAAAGAAAAGTATAATTTTGAACCATTTGCATAAAACACAGTGGAGAAATTGCAAACCGCCCACTGTGAAGGACGCTGAACATATTAAAATCCAGGTGGAAGCATGAAGCTGGATTTTTATTTACATGCTTTTGAAGAGAGAAACATTGTGACAAGAGGAGTGAAGTTATATCAACCCAAACTGAATTTATTTGTAAAGGAAGAGGTAGCAGGGAACAGCCTCTGTTCTGAATATATAGTCAACTTTAGTTAAGAAAAACTAATTTTAGTGTGTTTGTCCTCAAAGATGCTGTGGATTCTGTTCTTCGTCTGTCTGAGTGGTAAGCTGCTCATTTACTTCATAATCTGACGTTACAAATATTAAAACAGCTCTAAGAGTTCAATGTTAATGACTTCCTACTTTCGTACACAGCAAAATTAAATCATACGTCATAAAATGGGTTTAAGTTTAGTGTTGGAAGCTGAAGTTTATACATATTAATGATTGTATTAAAGATGAAAGTGACTCTGACTACCAACAACGTGAACTAATTAGGTCTATTGTGTATTTTGTTTTGATCCATTTAATGTTTAACTATTCATGTCAAGAATTTATTGTGGATATGTTAGAAGACAAATAAGCCATAAAATGATTGTCATGTGAAGATCAACACTCTGAAGCTAAATGCTCTGTGATTTGAAAGTTTCAGCCACAGAAAACTCCAACAAACCAAACATACAGCTGATGGACAAGAGAGCATATCAGTCTACAACCTATACAGGCATTGATAAAATACATTATACTGCTGACAGAGCCTTGGATGGGAATCAATCAACTTGTTCTCACACCAACCAGCAGATTGACCCCTGGTGGTCTGTAGACCTGCAGGATGTTTACAACATTTCCTGTATCTCTATCTACAACGTTCATCAGGATAATAAGGTGACTAACATATCAGGTGCCAAGATCTACATCGGGAACTCTCGTCAGAACAACGGCATCAACAACAAGCTGTAAGTCTCATGTTACCTTAAATTGATCATTTAATATTTTCAGGCTTTCACATCTGTATCATCTACTGCAATCAATCATTCACATTAGCTTTCTCAGGGGCTTTGCATTCACACTATTGAGTTCCACTTTTCTGGTTGCTCCATAAATTTCGCCAAGCTTCTTCTCCTGCATACTTTGTGATATTTTCACCATTCAACGTTTATGCTGTTCAGGTTGCTCTCCTAATGCCGACTGTATCTCTTGGTATTCTTAACCTCCGTACTTTTTATAATATTCAGCTTTTTATGAATTTTTCACCCCGTGGGGGAAACAGCTCCATCGTGTGGCAGAATTGTTAATTACAATGTAAAATGTCTGTTGTGCTTTACAGTGGATGTTTCAGGTCCTGCCTATGAATTTCAATCAATCATTCAGTTTCAGGGCTGTCATGGAGGACACAAGGCAGCGGCCATTTTGAAGTTAGGCAGTTTAACAGCTTTTATGCTGTTTAACACCAGGGAATAATTTAAGCTTTTGACATTGCTTTTTTCATACTGCATGTGGCATATCTTTTGTAGTGCTAAACGATGCATCCAGACAAATGTTATTATCAGTCAGGAACCATAAAAGGTATGAATTTTATTCACCCGCCATTTTTATCAGAAGGAATTGGAGAATGTTTCTGTCCTTTTCAAATTTTAGGTTTTACATGAGTTTTCTTTTTTACATTGCATGGAATAGACTGTAACCCAGACGCTAATCCCAGATGCTATCATTAGTATGTTAGCTAGTTGTAGCTTTTTAGCTAATTTTGACTTCTACATGGGTTTTTCACACTCATGGACTATTTCTTATCTTTCTGCAAGTCTTCAGCAGTTGGCTTCAAATGCTTTTGCCATTTTCACCAAAAGCATTTAGCATTGAGGATTCACACTTGCATTTTCATAAGAAATGCCACTTTCTAGTTGACCTTCAAAACACATATTTGGTAACTGCAGGACTTTCAATATATACCACAGTGTTTAAACATTGGGCACCAAAGTTCACATCTTTATCTTCTTGGAAATCTGCAGACACTGGGATAAATGTGAATTTAAATGTAATTCCCAGTTTTTTTCTCATTGCTGTTGCAGAATTGTCTTTGTCATGTTAATGTTAATTTTCTCTCTCTTATCTAGGGTTCAAAACATCACAGCTTTCCTAGCAAACCAGATCAATGTCTTTGAGTTTCCTTCATCAGTGTCGGGGCGATACGTCACTGTGATCAGACCAGGAAATACATATATGGTTCTCTGTGACGTGAAAATCACTGGAACAAAAATGGGTATGTGATCTTGTTTATCAGTACTCACCATGGAAAGATAAATAAAATACTTCTTTGTTTCAGCTTTTAGGGAAACTGACTAATTAGTTAATGCTTTGCTACCAAAACATTTGAATATCCTGCTGCAACACAGCAGCTTATTGTTTTCTCAGATATTCACATGTCTGTAATATTCAGAAATGTAGGAAATGAATGTTAGATAAAGTTTCATCTGTCTGACTGGAGAAAACACTTTCCTCTAACCAGGCTGAGATATTTTCTTCCTTTTCTTGATGCTTCACAGGGTTTACTTCACCCTTAAAATAAATTGTTTTATGTAGTAAAATTAAGTGTTTACATTCTAACACTTTATTTTAAATTGAGTTCTTTTCTGTTTGTTTCTTATTTTTAAGCTTCACCTTTTCTACTGATTGACCAAAACAAGACCTGGGAAGAAGCTCTGAACTACTGCAGAGATAACCACGGAGGACTGGCCTCCATCTTGGATGAACAGATTCAGACCTTTGCTGAGCTGGAGGCTGAGAAAGCCAGCAGTCCCTTCATGTGGATCGGACTTCACTACGTCTGCCGCCAGCAGTTCTGGTTCTGGGTTGATGAAAATGCTGTAGAGTCTAAGCGCTGCAGTCAGAATGTCCCAAAAGAAAACTGTGACATGAGTGGAGCCATGGAAACACAGGGAGATCATCGCTGGTTCAGTAAGTCTGATGATGAAGAGTTTAATTTCATCTGTTGGGTTCAGTAGAATCTGGGTCTTCTGCAATTATTTTAGTATTTCTTTGTTGACATAAAAACAGCTCTTTTTCATTGTTGTAAGTAATATGACACTTTTCGACTATTTTTCTCTATACTGTTGCAATAACTACTCTGAAGGTTTTATTCTACACCTTTGAATCATATACATCCCTCTGGAACCTGGGTGTTGGTTTCTGAAATTTTGAGTTTTAATTATTTTTTGCTTTCTATTAAACATAAAATAACTTGTAAGGAATTGATTTTGTGACCCTTGATATTGAGTAACATTTTCTTTATGCCAAACCAGTTTAATAAATGTCATACAAAGCAAATATATTGTTCCATGACCACTATTGAGTTTAACTATATTTTATGTTCAAAGTGTCTGGAGATTCAGCTCGTATCTGATCAGTTCTAGAAGATGAAATGTTTTTTTTTTTTTTTTTGACAAAATACTTTTTAAATTCTGATGAGTTTTTATTTCAGTCTCACATAGGAGAGTTAATATTAATAAAGTAACACATAATCTCGGCTCAGTAGCTTTTAAGCTAAAAGTGTATAAATTGTCTTATTAAACAACCCCAGGGATTTATAATATAAACTTTATGAGGATTACATCTAAACAAATGAGACTTCTTGTCTGCTTGCTCATTATTAATGCAACTATTGCTTGTAAGTGACCTACATTCAATACTTTAACGCTTTCTCCAGGTGTGTCTCATCCCCTTGATTACCCCGTGTGTATTTAAAACCACCTGTTGTCCTCATCTCTGGTCGGATCCTTGTCATGTGTTGCCTGTTTCCCCATGCCGTCAGATGTTCCTCGTGTTGTTCTCTGTTGCTCTGTTTTCCAGATATTTTCATTAAATTCATCATTTTCACCACCTTACCTGGGTCTGCCTGCGTCCTGTTTCTCACCTCACCAAACCACATCATAAATCATGACAGGCAGGGTTGGGGGAGAGACGCTTGTGTGTATATATAAATATATATTATGTGTGTGTGTGTATATATATAAATATATATATGTATGTCAGTATATGTGACACATGTCAATTGTTTGTAAATGTTTACTCCTAAGACTTTTGTTTTTCCAACATGTTTGTTTTTCAGGTAATAGACATAGCCCCCAAAACTTCACTGAATTTATATATTCCAGTTATCCAAAGTTCACACAAGCAGGCGGTTTTGAGTTAATGAGGGCTTGGGGCAGCACCAGGACTCGACAGCTGTCAGTTCTGCCATGCCCAAACTCAATATCTTAAAGATTGTGCTTCGCTTATTTACTCTGCCACATTATACATCCGCCCTGTTCAGTGTAACCTCAGCATTGAACAGGTATTGTATGATTTCTCCACTTTCTTATGACTTTGTTATAACTTTGCTATAAATCCAGTGGACCTGTCTTGTTGCTGTTTCAGTTGTTGGTGCTGTTGTGTATGCTTTGCATATTCATTTGATAATTTTTCTGAATCCTATAGATGGACTTACAGAAAAGTAAAGCTAAGTTTAATTTCTTTGTACTTACAGGAAACAATTAGCAGACCATCTGACCTGGGACCATTAACTCCATGCCTATTTTGTGGAGAGGAATTGTCCCAGCTCAGAGACCACAATAGGACCTGTAAAAGGTTCTTAAAGTTGTCCTACAGGGGATTTATCTACATCAGCAAAATATTTTTGTTTACTCAACAATTCTTAATAATTATCCACTGTGGCCACATGTTGCTTTCACAATTGTTTGTATGCCCTATTTCAACAGTGGAAAGCTTGATAAGATTATATTTTCCAAAGCTTTCTGACATTGCTATTTTTATTTTTTTTTATTTAATCAACTGAGCATGCTACTGCATTAACAACAAAGCGTTTCCTTTCATAAACTGATTGCATGGCTTAACCTGCCCATGGCTCCATCAGATGGGTTACTGGACTCTGAAGGAAAAGGATGCGATTCTTTCCACATGTAAGTCTTTCAAATGCAGCTTTCTATATTTAGATTATTTGTTACATTTCCTCAAGTTCATTTCACAGCAAGATAAATGTTTATTGAGTCAACTATTTGTACGGGTGAAACATAATTGTAACCAAACCTGAAAATGTATTTTGTGTTCAATACAGAAGAAATAGGACAGTGCAAATATTTCTACTTCGGTTATCAAACAAGTGTCAGCTGTTCATGGCTGTATGGCCATTTGTGTTGTATTATGACTATTAATGACACCTGACAATATATTTATTCCTCTAGTGAATTACAGGGTGATTTTTAGAAAGAGAAAATCTTTTTTTTTTTTTTTTTTTAATTTTATCTTAAAACCGGATTGCCAGCGTCTCCGGTGTGCTGAGAGTTTCACTTGTGGAGCAGATTTATATCTTCATAAGTTTATACGCCTCGGTTCCCCGACCACCGGGCTTCGCAAGATATGTTAGTGAAATATGTTGTTCCCAAATGAACAGCAGAGTAGAAGAAAGAAGAGCTTGTTAGTTTAGCTCTGCCTTCGTTCAAAGATTGCTGTCTGATTTACATAGGAGCTCATATTCATTTTTTCTCCAAAGTAGTTGTGTAGTTTGTTGTTCGTTTTCTCACACTGATGGTACCAGTCCATATATTTCAAAAATTAAAAAGTGTACACTCCAGTTTCAATAAAAGATCAAATATCTCTAACCTAGAGTTCATTCTTTAACAGAACTTCACCAACTTCTGTTCACACCAGGTGTTGTGCTAAAATGTTTCTTTGTCATTTTGACTAATGGGGTCAAAAAAATTCAGTTATGTTTTATTTTTACCTGTCAGCTTTAAAAATAATAATAATGACATAGTGACGACCAAAAAACAACGATTGCATCAACACCAGCAGGGCAGAACTCAAATGGTGTTTGACAAAGGGCTGCTGCAAGTTTTTTCATTTACATTTCTGATATTTTTGGTGAATTAATATTTAATGTGAAGGCTATAAAAAGCTTCTTGACTAATAAGTGATTAGTTTGTGCGATAAGCAAATAAAAATTACATTTCAGAAACAACATCTGATTGTGTGAGACCAACACCTGGTCTCAACACAATCCAACTCTGTGCTCAGTTTTGTGGGATTTTCTCCCACTGAAATGCAAATACTATAAAAAGAAAAATATCCACAATTTTGAACCAGCAACATAAAATATAATAGTGCATTTACAAGCCCTTCCTTATGAAGGGAGAGAAATACATTCAAATTCAGGTGTAAACATGAAACTGGATCTTATCTACATGAGCTTAGAAAGAGAAAGATCCTGAAAGAGGAGAGAAGCTACATCAACCTAAACTGACTCTTATTTAACTTATTAGTAGAGGAGGAGGCATCAGGGAACATCCTCTGGTCTGAATATAGTGAAGAAAAAGTCATTTTAGTTTGTTTGTCCTCGAAGATGTTTTGGATTCTGTTCTTCATCTGTCTGAGTGGTAAGCTGCTTATTTATTTTTTAGTTTGATGTTTAATTTTTACAAATATTTAAAAAAAGCTCCAAGAGTTTAGTTTTACTGTCAGTGACCTCCTACTTTATCCCACAGCAAAAATAATGCCAAACTTCATAATAAGGGTTTAATTTCAGGGTCTGAAGCAGAAGTGTATGAGTATTAATGACTGTATTCAATCTTGAAATGGCTCTGATATTTTCCACTATAAAAAAACTTAATTTTTATTTGTTTGTTTTTCTCTGCAGGAAGGCTGTGTGCAAGTCACGGCCCAAGTAGGTCAAACGTCGTTTTCCTTTGAACCATTTAATGTTTAACTTTTCACGTCATAACTTTGTTGTAGATAACTCATGTGAAGACAAATAAGTTATAAAATGATTGTAATGTGAAGATCAACACTTTGAAGTTAAATTCTCTGTAACTTGAAAGCTTCACCCACAGAAAACTCCAACAAACCAAACATAAAGCTGACGGACAAGAGAGCATATCAGTCTACAACCTATGATGAAGGAACACCATACACTGCTGACAGAACCTTTTATTAATCAACTTGTTCTCACACCAACCAGCAGATTGACCCCTGGTGGTCTGTAGACCTGCAGGGTGTTTACAACTTTTCCTGTATCTCTATCTACAATTTTCATCAGAATAGTGGTGTGACTGACATATCAGGTGCCAAGATCTACATCGGGAACTCTCGTCAGAACAACGGCACCAACAACAAGCTGTAAGTCTCATCTTACCTTAAACTGACTTATTTTCAGGATTTGACATGTGTTTCATCCAAAGCAATCATTGATTTACTGAACTATAAAATACATATTTGGTAATTGTAGTCTGTGCAAATCTACACAATCTTGCATCCGTGTTTTAAACATTTGTATAAAGTTAACATCTTTATCTCCTTGGCAACCTGCACATGGGGAAAAATGTGAATTTGCATTTTATTTCCAGTTTTCATCTCTTTGCTGTTGAAAATCCTTCTGTTATGTTAGTGGTACCTTTAATTCTCTCTCTCTTATCCAGGGTTCAAAACATTTCAGCCTTCAAGACGGGCAAGATCAATGTCTACGAGTTTCCCACTTCAGTGTCGGGATGATACGTCACTGTGATCAGACCAGAAAATACATTTATGGTTCTCTGTGAAGTGAAAATCACTGGAACAAAAATTGGTAATTGATCCATGTTCACTAACTCTCACCATCAAAAACCTATATAATATGATGTGATAATTTCAGCTTTCAGATGAACTGCAAAGCTGAATTTGATTAATTCAAATATATTGGATTATTATAAGATTTACATGTTGCTGCATCCATCCATTTTCTTTACACCCTTGTCCCTTAGTGGAGACGGGAGGGGTGCTGGTGCCTATCTCCAGCTAACGTTCTGGGTGAGAGGCAGGTTCTCCCTGGCCAGGTCTCCAGTCTGTCGCAGAGCAACACAGAGACAGACAGGACACACAACCAATCACACACTCACATCTAGGGACAATTTAGAGAACCCAATTAACCTGACAGTCCTTTTTTTGGACTGCGGGAGGAAGCCGGAGAACCCAGAGAGAACCCACCATGCACAGGGAGAACATGCAGAAAGACCCCGGGCCATGAATCGAGCCCAGAGCCTTCTTGCTGCAAGGCAACAGCTCTGGACTTTCGGGCTGGACTTTCTTCCTCAGGAAACTGAGACGGGCTGGACTTTCCTCACGGCTGCTCGTGAACTTTTACAGGGCGATGATCGAGAGCATCCTCTGCCTCAACATGACTGTGTGGTATGGTAGCTGCACAGCACTGGAGAGGAAACAACTGACACGGGTGGTGAGAACAGCACAAGGCATTGTGGGATGCCCCCTCCCAGACCTGGACTCCATTTACACAGACCGGGTCAAGAAGAGAGCTGGATCCATAGCGATGGATTCCAGCCACCCGGGTCACAGACTGTTTGTGCCGCTGCCATCAGGCAAGCGGTACAGGAATATACGGACTACAAGAAATAGACTGAGAAATAGTTTCTTCCCCACAGCCGTCAGAGCCATTACTCCCTGCCGTCCCCCCCTCCCACACATATCATAACCTCGCAGTCACACATACATATCCCCCACCCCCACACAGCCACATTGTTCTGCACTTTGCACTGTCACATTATCTGTACTTTGCCATAATTGGACCTGCTGCTACTTCTTTGGCATGGTTGAGTGCCTTTAGTTAATTTAGTTGTATATATTGTTATTATTATTGTGTGTTTGCTTATTTATACTGTATATATTTGACCTTTTGCACGGGAGCTGCAATGGAAATTTCGTTGAATTCTGTTCAGTGACAATAAATGCTATCTATCTATCTATCTATCTATCTATCTATCTATCTATCTATCTATCTATCTATCTATCTATCTATCTACCAACTGCGCCACTGTGCAGCCATGATGCTGCATAACAGCACCTTATTTGTATCACCCGTGTTGTGTAATGTTAGGATACAATGTTGTTGTTCTGTCATAAATCACTGGATATCTTGACTTCCTGTCATGTAAACTATGTTTAATTTTTTTTTAAGCTTCACCTTTTCTACTGATTGACCAAAACAAGACCTGGGAAGAAGCTCTGAACTACTGCAGAGATAACCACGGAGATCTGGCCTCCATCTTGGATGAACAGATGCAGACTTTTGCTGAGCTGGAGGCTGAGAAAGCCAACAGTCCCTTCATGTGGATCGGACTTCGCTTCAACTGCAGCCTGAAGTTCTGGTTCTGGGCAGATTATTGTAATGTTCAATATAATGAGTGTGACGTTGGTGGAGCCATGCAGACAGGAGGGCAGCATCGCTGGTTCAACAAGTCTGGGGATGAAGAGTTTAATTTCATCTGTTCGGTTCAATAGAATCTGGGTTTTCTGTGTAATTATTTTAGTATTTCTTTGTTGACATAAAAACAGCTCTCTTTTATTGTAAATAATTTGACACTCTTAAAAAAATATTCTGTATTGTCACAATAACCACTTTGAAAGTTTTATTCTATACCTTTGAATTATATACATCCTCTGGAACCTCGATGTTCGTTTGATGGGTCTTTATTGTCTCACATAGGAGAGTTTTCTATGCTTTGAGTATCTCAGCTTCAGTACCAGTCAGTTTTCATCCATAACTTTAAGTCTTTTGGGATCCACTGTATGTTTATTTATCTAATTAGGGCAAAAACAGGGTTAAAAGACAATAACGGTTTTCCTGTATAAAAAATATGCCAACAGGAAAACTTGAAACTTAATAATGTAACATAATCTCGGCTCTGCAGCTGTTAAGCTAAAACTGTATAAATTGTCTTAAACAACCCCAGGGATTTATAATATAAACTTTCTGAGGATTACACCTAAACAAATGAGACATTTTGTCTGCTTGCTGATTATTAATGCAACTATTGCTTGTAAGTGACCTACATTCATTACTTTAACATTGTTGACCTTCCACACGCTTTCATTAGTTTATCCTAACATGATTTATGGAACTGAAAGATGTTTTCACTACCAGCACCTGAATCAGACGGACAGTCCAAGCTTAAAACAAATGTTGGTTCTCTCCCAAGAACTGAGCTCTCTTTTTTTATTTGCTCATTAGGTCTCACAGCTGTACCTACATTTCACTCCCTGGAGCATCTTCTGTTTCACACTTCTTTTGTTTTCAGCGTGCTGATATTTCTCTTCTCTCTCTTCCACTTCTGTCTCCCTCCAGTCCCTCTTCACCTCCTGCAGAGCTTCCATATCCGTTTCACCGCGGCCCTCCGTCTCCCTCACTGCTCGCCCGCTTCCAGCTCCCCTCTGCTCTCCGACAACACCATTATATCAGGATAATGTACACAGAACGTTTTGCATTGTCCGACAGCGGAGATTGAATTGTGTAATGATGGAACAGACTACCTTTTGTCTTGTAAAATCACTACCAGCTTGTTTCCAGCTCCCTGGCCAGGTCTGTATTCGGGTGATAAACAGCGCCGTCTCCTATTTTTCCCCATATTCCCAGAATCCCATAGTTTGAGCCTGTTTTTCTCCTCAAATGAGCCATTAATCAATTTTTCAGGGTTTCTCAAAATGGGAGATCTTTCTCATATGTTTCTTCTTAATGTTAGATGTGATTTTTGTCGTTTGTTTTCTATTCTTTGTACGTCTTTGTTTGTAGAATCTGCTTTTATTTTAATCTTTTGTGGACAAGTAGCCAACAAATGACCTTTTAAGCCTTTATGACTTAAGTTTAAAATGTTCACCTGAATATGTTTTGCTAATTTTAACTGTACGCAGTTCTTTAAATGTAAATATATTTGCCCATTTATCCATAACAACTTCAACCTTCAATATCTAGCAAGTTATTTTCGCAATTTACTCTATAAAAAGCACGCCCCTCCAATCAATTTCACTCCCTGCTTCGGTCGGGGTGAAATTACCGTAATAACCCGACATTGGCTGGAGAAACGTCTCCCCTTTCAGAAACCATTGGAATTTTTCAGAGTGTCGCTGAATTACGGTTCTATAAAGTTGGCTGGATCGTCAGCGCTCCTTTTGGTCTGGAAAGGTTCTTTCACTGTTGTGCAACTAATTTAACCAAAATCCCAAATTCCACCAATGTACAAAATATGATTTCGTTTGGGCCAATAGAGTGCTTGGAGTTGCAGTTACTGCACTAGTTTTGCTGTGAAACAGAAAGCAAACAAAAAACACTGCTGTGTCCGACACTGGCCCAGAGGAGAAATCAAGATAATGAGGGATATCAAGATAGTGAGCAAAACTCCTAGTGGAATAATTCAGAAAAAATATGAGGACTTGTGTCAAGGCTTGACAGGTAGTGACGAAGACTAGGTAGTAGTTTGGGAAGCTGGGTTGAGTGTCATGAGTCACATCCAAATGCAACAACTGCCATACCAGTAGGATCAAGAAATCCTTTAAAAGAGAAAATATCTGACATGAAATATGAGAGAGGATCTGGAAAAGCATCACATCGTGTGTAGACCTGAGGAAATGCCGGGCAGATGAAGAAGAAAAACATTGAGATCTACTAACTTGAAAAGGGTTACAAAGACATTTCTTTGATTTTGGGACCCAGACAAGTCACAGTGAGAACAATGCTTTTTGTCCATCTTTATTTCCATTGCATGACAAATGGAAATAAAACAAACAAACAAAAAAAAAACATCTTTGAACTACATCTTTGTCAGCAAGAAAATATCTTGAACAATCCTCTTGCTCCGACTTTAATTGCCAAATATCTGGAAGCGAGACCATCATGGACTGAGTGGGTTCCTTCACTTCCTCCACAGCCAAACTACAACCACTTGCAGACGGCAATTCAAAAGCACTGCAAAAACTCGACGTCATCGCTCACACCCGCTCCATCTGTTCACTGACTAGCCCAAGTATCAACCTCAATGGGAGAAATCCCAGCTGCGGCACTGGAGGGAGATGAGAATCAAGCTGAGCTGAGGGAGGAAATTTCCAGGCTAATCAAGCTGAGATCTACGAAAGCTTTTTTGCAGAAAAGCGCATGGTTTCACACACTGATGGTTACTGTAATAGGCAAAAAGACGGTTAGACTGCGTCATCGCTACGTTCAAATCAATCCACACAGGCAAACACACACAATGCCTTATGCTAAATATGGACAGGATGTGTCTTTGTGTAGAAGTGTGATTTGTTCGCCCTTCCAGTAAATCTGAACAGAGGACCTATTCACTTTGTGGATGTAGCATGAACTGTTACACGCAGATAGGGGGGCTTGCGGTGTGTCACGTTGCCTGATCAAATGAGGAACATGTTGGCTGCAAACGGTGTGCATGGATATGTGTGCTGGTAGAAAACTGGCAACATCTGGATCCACAGTTTAATGCTCCCTTACCAAAGAGAAAGACAGTATTGTTGTAAGGCAATTACCGTGACACACACACAAACATCTGAATGGGGCGCATGTGCGCGCGTGTGTGCATGTTTGTGTGATTTACTCACAACCATCCATGCGTGCAGGTTAGTGCAAGTGTGTGCATAATTACACATGTATATCACCCCCGATATGGGACCACTGCAGTGGGACGGTGAAGAAATCCTGGATGGCTTCCACTAATCTCCGTAAATGTGGGGGTCCGCGAGGCTGAATGTGTGACCCAGTTTGATGAGCCAAAAATCAAACACAGTTTTAAAACGCGGGCCACCTCTGCAGTTTTTATTAACCCACCACGGAGCGGTGTGCTAACAAAAGCGTCTGTAAACTGCACCGCCGAAGTTTGTCTGAAAGCATCTGGGTTTACATTGTACCTGTCGTCTTGACAACAGTCACCCAGGGTTGGCTCATGACATCATTTCTGGGTTTAAATCATCCAGCTGGGGAAAATCCCCTGCTCTGAGACCCAAGGAGCCAGACCAGCGCTGTGCACTCCGAGAAGCTCTCCTTCTAGGAAATAAGGTGTGTTTGGAGGAGGGAAGCTAGTGGAAACGGGTGAACGAGGACATCCAGACACACACATGCACCAAGACTTGATGAACATTAGCGTAAAGGCGCTACTGAAAGCAGTTCACAAATATCTGATTACATATCAGACTCCTGTGTAAATAAATACATGTTTGCTGTGGATGTTAGCAAGGGTGCATACACACACACACACTCCAAACACATAAACATGCACACATCCAACAGCTGGGAGCGAAGAGTGAAAGTGTCCCGTTTCTTAGAAAGTAGCTAAAACTCCTGCAAAGTCTTAGTGCCGTTGATAGAGTTTAAACACTAATGCAACCATATACACTAGGTCTGTTCTACAGCATTATGTTTTTTATTCTTAGTGTTAGTAATAGTAATTATTCACTTTGATGAAAAACAAAGCAGAAACACTATTTAATTCATTTTCCAGTTGTACTTAAAGGAAGCCCCACAGTGATTCTACACGTTTTTCATGTCACAGTTTCCATACTCACCCAGACTTAAATTTCCAGAGTTAACAGTCCATCTTTAACAAACTTCTATGAAATAATAAGAATAATGCTCGCTATCTAATGTTTCTATAGTGATTACACGTGAACCTAACCATTCATCCAGGAACTTGGATGATTGGCAAACCAAGAAATTAGTAGATTGGATGGATGGATGGATGGAAGGAAGAGTGAATAAACTCATACAAACATTTTTACACGCTCTTGTCGTTTCCTTTTCTACTCCAATTCAAACCCATACATTCCCCCATGTTTTTCCCAGACTGTGTGGGATCCCTGGAACGTCTTGAAATTATTGTGAAATAACATAATTAACGGCGTAATACCTCGTCCTTTGAAGCGGCAAACTTAACACTGAATAGACAAGCCGTTCCTCATATGATTCACTTCCCGAAAGTGATGCAAATGAAGATTTATTCTTCGGAGATTGCGAGAAAATTATGAGGAAATGTAGCGTCACGACCAAGCCAAGTAAAATACACAGACAACAAAGAGATCTTATTAGCCTCTAAATAACTGATGCTTCATGACTCAACTGTCAGTACATCCAGATCGCTCCTAAGTTTATCCATGTGAGGGTGTTGGTTCGACTGTAAATGCCAAATTGCCTTCATCAGGATCACCCAATGAGGAAAACAAAATGAAGGTTTGCCAACTGTGTCTACTGGAACACGAGCCAGAGCAAACACCGCACTGCCTCGTAATGAGTCGAGGCGTGGCATAGTACCTTAATCCCATGTTTAAATTTTTTGACGTGCGAGAGAAAAACTCTCTCAATCTGAGAGCGCTTGGTGGGTCGGCAGAGAGCTGACGGGTTGATGACAAGGCGGACAAGAAACTGGAAGCAGGCGAGAAAAGAAGACGCATTGGGAAGGGAGGAA